TATTTTTTAAAATCGTATATAATATATTTATTTTTTTTTAAAAAAAAGAGTGGCGCAATTGTGTGTGTATATATATATATATATATATATATATATATATATATATAAATTCATTCATTTTATTTAAAGTTTAGTAGTGCTTGGTCTTGGACCAAGCGTTCGGTCTCAATAACGCTCGTTCTTGATAAGTGTTTGGTCTTAAACCAGCGCTTGTTCAATAGTGTTCGGTTTCTACAGGGCTCGGTCTTAAACCAAGCGTTCGGTCTCGTTTCAGTAATCTATTATTACCGTTTTTAAAATAAGAGTCTTCAGTCAAACTCAATAGCGTTCGTTTCTTCATAATATCTCATCAGTTATTAGTATTTAGTGTCAAACAGTTTTGGTCTTTAAAAGGTGTTCGGCCTAGAGTCTTAGTACTCGGCCTAGGCTTCGTGGCGTCCGGTTTGAACTCTTAAGGGTTTGTTCATTGAAGTGGATAAATTCGTAAATAACGCTCGGTCATGTTAGTTTTTAAGAAGTGTTATTCCATTCGGACTTGTGCTATGATGAGAAAGTGTGATCTTATTTCAGTTGAATATATTGATGATGAAGTATAAGAGAATTTGAAATGTGATGCGAATGAAATAGTTTGGTTATGAAAGAGTATTCCACGGAGGAATATCTCAGAAAGTAGTTATTGATTGGTAAAGTATGAATGTGGGCAAAGCTTAGCGGGCGTTTATCCTGATATTCCGTGATTACTCATTCTCACGTAGAGAGGAGTAAGTCATGTGTGGGAATGGCAGGAGGTCCTAGTCCATAAGGTTAACTTGGACGGAACAGATTAACCTCGGGTGGCAGCTGTTGAGGGTATCCCAGTTACTACATCACCCGGGTGTACAAACGTCGTAGCTACACAGGATTCATGCAGTCCGGACAGTCAGAGTCAAGTGGTCGGTCTTTGCATGCCATGATGTATGAATTATGATTTGGTTGTTGTTTAATTTAATCACGAAAATTGTATGTTTTATTGAATTAATTAAATTACATAAGCTTACCCTATTTATCATTTTGTTTGTGTTGTACGTTCGGTTGTTGTCCTGTTGCAATGATCATTCGTGTGGATGTGAGCAGAAGGAAAAGAGTTGCTGGAAGAAGCACTGGAATAGGTGGAAGTGAAGGCCGAACCTTAGTAACGTTCGGTTAGTTGTTGACCTCTTCTTTTGTAGGATCGTTCGTTATAAGTTTATTTTGTAAACCGTTCGGTCTAGTTATAGCCATTGTACAGTTTTAAATTATGTAGGATTTTGTAAGGCCGTTCGGCCATAACTGTGTTTCCGATCTTTTGTAAGACTAATCTGTCATATTATTAATATGTGATTATTCTCATATATGGTTTATACTGTATTTTTGGGATGTTACACATTTAACAATATAACTTTGGAATTTTGTATCATAAGTTGGAAGACCACACCGACTAGAGATAAGGCCAATTCATAATTTAGAAATTGGTGCAAATCTCATCCTATAAGTTGGTTTTATGGGATTGAGTTAGGCTTAACCTCTACTTCTATCATGATATTAGAGTCATGATTAGAACCTATCCTAGTGATATTTATTATTTGTTGGACATATTGTTCCACCCGCTGCTACCCACCCATTAAAAATGTTTAATTCTACGTTGGAGATGTATGTACTTGACTTAGACTCACATCTATCAATATAAATTTTGTTGTGGTTTGAAGATATAACCTGCATCTCACTTTAACTGGTGAGATTGTGTACTGAAATTTATTGGAATGGAAGGGTTTGATTTCCTTTCTGGGTAGTATTCTGGCTTTTCCTTTGAACTTTGTTGAAAATAAAGTGCAAAGATGCGTTCAGTATTACTACTATTCAGTAACAGTGTCAGTCATCTTTCGAATTTATTTCCCTTTCTTTTTTCATTTACATGACAGAGTACGTTTCAATTATGCTTTCCATGTTACTTTGCTGTTTGGTGGATGTTACTTTCGCACTTCCTTCTTCTTCCTTCCCCATTTCTATTACACTTTATTCTTTTCTCCTATTAATTTATGTCCTTAAGCCTAACCTTCTCAATTAACATACTAACTCTAATCTATTCAAATTGTTTAATAGTTCCATAATATTATCTTAATACTGAGTTTATGTCAAACTAAACCAATTTATAAAGTGACTTATACTTTTCATTTATATATTATAATTTTATTTTATCTTTAATTGATACAAAATCTTTTAATAATTAAAATGAAATTAGTCAATAAAAAAAAGTGTTTAAAATAATTGTGGATTTGTACAAAATTACTTAATCAATATTTTTGTTCTAATATTTCTTATTAATTTGATGTGATCCTTTATGTTTTTTTTTCTTGAATTCAGTTCTCATTTATTTAAAATAATTTAGTGTCGTGTCTAATGTTAAATTAATGTTAACAATGTTAATCCTAATTTAAGGAAATGAACCACATTAAATCATTATAAATAAAATAGAAATTGAATTGAAGGCAAAACAAATTAGGAAATCATATTGAATCAATTTATCGAATATTATAACCAAACTACTAGCTAAACTAAAAATAAATATTAGAAAAAGTGAAGAATGTTATAAAGTATAAAACTAGATGATATTCAAAGTAAAATAGTGCATGAAACTAAATTTAAACACTAAAAAACAAATCTTAATTATTCAAATATTATGACTTGAATTATTAGAATTGTGTTTAATTTTATTATGAAATATACGAGAGTTGAGTATTTATCGATGAATATAATTGTGTATTGACTGAATTTTTGTTAAAGATTAATATATGTTAATCACAAACTTATAAGATGAACTACATAAAATATTGAATATGAAACTAAATAAATAGGTTTAAAATAAATATATAATACATGTGAGGTTTTTTCAATGGAAGATAGAAAGACTTGACACTATTATGATAGATATTAATAAAATGTAAACAAATTTACACAAAAAATAAAAATATTATTTCAAACAAAAACTTTAAAACAATACGTTTATGGTCATTTTGCTTAGTCAACTTATTCTTTTTATTAATAACTTTGAAAACCCAAATTCCAAGCCATAGATGCATCTATGAGAAGTATGATGATAGATGTATAAAAAGAAAATAATGGAAAAGTTTCTAGCATTGAAAATAATAGGCTGGAATGAGATAATTGATGATTAGCATTGAGAATGGGGTAGGTATAGGTGGTGCTGAAGGCCAACAAGTTGGAAGGTTTAACATTAAAAAATGAGACATTGAAGCTTCTTGAATCTCGCCACCATTGCCCCCACCTAGTGCTTCTTCTAATATTTGGACTCCAGATAACAAAAATCTGTTAATAATCTCTTTTCTTCAACTTCATTGGTGATATGTTTCATTGGCAATGACCATACACACTAAGATGCATTGACTTTCGTGCTCTTTGTGTTAATTTAGTATTGGGAATGGAACAATCTTAGATGTTAATATGAGCTAGGTGAAGTGTTAGGCTTAAACTACTTTTGAAACGTTGAAGTCCAAATTACTCCTACAGTGTTTCTACGCCCTTTTATGTTAGTGAGATGAAAATTACTCATTCGTAAGGATGACTTTTATCGTCTCGCTGTTGTTTTTTTCTGCACTTTTTATATATTCCATTTTACCATTGAAATAGAAACAGTGACAAAAAAAATGGATAACTGTTTTTGAGTGGTTTCTGCCAAACAAAATTCTTGACCACATGTATATTGTGGAGTATTTAATTTGTTTTTTTACAGCATAGATTGATTTTCAATCTATTAAATCCTAGCTTACACTTGCTTTTACAAAGATGGGGATGATTTTACAAGTTCAATTTTTCTTATTTATATGTTTAATACAGTAGAATATGTTCCTTTGTCCTAAATGTGTTCTTCTAACTTTTGTTCCTTGGGCGGGTATGCATAAGATACTTTATATTCAATTTTTTTAAGATTGAGAACGAAGAATAAGTGTGTAATTAATGAAGGATTTATCATACTTATAGTCTCTTAATAAGCTTTTATCTTAATTGGTCCAAATTAAGTGTCCAAACAACTACCTTAATACATTATTAGTGTTTAAGTGGGTGATCATCATCTTAGTTGTAGATTATATTGATAGGGATAAGATGGTAATATCCTGTATTCTTATATCATCAAGGAATTATTAATATCTTAAATAAAGTTTTTCATACTTCAAAATTATTAATATACTAAGTGTAAGAAATTGAATATCTAAATATAAAATCGACATTTGAATATTGAGCTTGTAGAACTCAAGTAATCAAGATGAAGTGTGTTACGAGTAGCTAAACTTAATGGTAATTTCTTCTGATCAAGTGTATATACCCAAAAGAAGTGCATCACTTTCATTTACTGTTACAAATAGTGTAGCATTAACTTGTACTGAATTTGATTACCCCATGTAAATTTACATGTGTGCTGCAAGAAGATTCTGCTAAGGATTTCAATGTATCTACAAGTAACAAAAGATTGGTGATCACTACAAAATTATGGTTGTCAAATCATGTTGCAATGCCACAAAATTAAATGCAAGAAATTATGCCATTCAAGTGAGACATTGCAAGCGAGACAATCAAGTGAAAGGATACAAATACGAATTATACAGAAGGTTGTGCACTGCTAGACATAAAAGCATTGTTCGTAACCACTGTTTCATGGTTATACGAGGTATAAAGACATCATTTATCACTGGAGTGTATAATGACCATGTTCAACGACAAACCATGTCATACATTTCCATATAAATATATGCTTGAAAAGTGTATACAATTAAAGACAGTGATATTGGATTGTAGGGCTAAACCTTGGACCACAAAAATGAAAGAAAAAGTAAAAAATTTAACCTGTAATAATCTAATTACGAAATTTGGACATCCAAATAATCACGAAGGGGCAAGTATATACATCAAAACAATACCTTTCTTTCACTCTTTGCTTGTATCCAAAAATAAGGTCTATCCAGTGATGCAAATTTTCTGAGAAAGTCTGGATCACGAGCTTCCCAATGCTTACTGATGAACTCTCGAGGGCTACCTTTGGCCCATGGAGGTAGGGCAGCATCCCCAGCCTGAAGAAACACCATAATAATTAAATTTACTATTCAACTCACCAGCATATTTGGCTCTTAGAATTTAAAAATAGAAAATGGATACATTTTCAACATGATGGCCTTCTTGCCGGACTGTTTTCTCTACAAATTCAAGAGTTGATTGATTCTCCAAGAACTGGGGAGTGTATAAAATTATAGAATCAATTCCTTCACATAAGAGGTGTTTCCCTTCCCAGCAACACCGGGCCAAGAATTCCTCATGCTATTGAAAAAGACAATCGGTAAGTCAAACTAGGCACCCTAATACTTTTTATTCTCCATACTAAATGAGGGCAGGTGGAGAAGATAGAATAGATCAATTCCAGAACTAGAATAATTAGATCCATACTGAAAACTTTGGGACCTCCGGATCATCCCAGCTCGTATCTAATAAAGCATGATTATGTTAATGTGCATCGTAAGGAAAAGAAACTAGCTTCTATCCTCAGGTTCATGGTCAAGTTTCTCAGTTTTTTATGATTTAATTCCTATAACATCTTAGTTCCAGATAAGTGTAAAAATTTGTTGTCTCCTTGGATGTTACAATTTGTTACGTACTGAGTACGTAAACTAGCCAAATACAACCTTTCACGCTCTCACACGTAATAGAACAATAAACGAATAACAATGGATGAATGGATCTCTTTTATTGATGGTAATATCTGAATAAACAAGGGTAAACAATAATTGGGAGCATAACCTCCTTCAATTACTTTGAGAGCATAACCTCCCTCACAAGAAAATAATGTCAGTAACAAAAATCAATAATCAAAAGCATATCTTTAACCCTAGACTCTAACTTTATTTATACTAATTATTTCCTGCCCATCTCTTGTTAAATATTTCTCTAGAATATATCTGCATTTAATATAAATATCCTTATATTTAATATTTAATATAAATATCCCTATATTTAATATAAATATCCCTATATTTAATATAAATATCTCTCCCTATATTATCCTAGCATATATCCTTAATTATAAATATCTTATATTGAATATTTCCCTAAATATATATTTATTTACTCTAATTAACTTATACTATATTTATTTACTCTAATTAACTTATACTATATTTATTTACTCTAATTAACTTATACTAAATATTCTCTCTGCTCATATACTTTCCAACCCTTATTATTACCCCTACCTTAGATCGTAACATTACACCCCGCTGCAAAACAACCTTGTCCTCAAGGTTGGAAACGGGGAGCTTGATCTCATGGCTCCTCATCAATTCATGTCTGGAGGTTCGGGTGGTGGTAAAACCTTCTCTAATGTCTTCCATTCTTCGTCCAGCATTCTGGTTACCACTTCTCCTGAATCATAAGCCCTGAGGGAATGGTTTTCAATGTCTTTCAGTACTTCACGTCGCTTTCTTCCTTCTGCCAATGTACCAAACACTGCAAGCCCCCTGTTCTTTTTGTCGCCCCATCTCTTCACAGACTCCATTGTTCTCTCCAGGGTATTGATTCTTCCATCTGCCCTTCCTTCCAAAGCCTTCATTCTTCCTTCCAATACTAGACCGTTTGGTTCAGGTAGTTTTCTCACGTTCGGTTCTGGCTGTCTCCTCCAGTTCGGCTCGGTAAGTCCTCTCTCTGTAGGTTACGTACGTTCTTTCACGTTCGGATCCAGCAGTCTGCTATCGTTCGGTACTGGCAGTTCGCTCACATTAGGATCCGTTAGTCCACTATCAATCGATTCCAGCAGTCCCTTCCAATTTGGAGCTTGGACTTCATGGCGTATTCCACTCAACTCTGCCTTCAACCTCCTTAGGGACAACTCCATGTTCTTTAGTCTCTGCCCCATGCTCTCCAGTTTCCCTTCAACTGCCTTCAACCATTTTCTAAACTGATCTTCACCCTCAGGAGTCTGGCAGTGCACTGGTTAATAAAGCCTGTGAATTGTTTTTGGGTTGGACAAAACAAGATTTCCACTCTCATAATCAGCAAGGACTCATGGAAAGACTAGATAGACATTGGGGAAGATCACTGTATCCACGTCCTGAAAAGGTGTTTAGATGCATAAATCACTGGATATTGCTTATTTCTTTCTCCCTTATGACACCTTTTAGAAAAGGATTTGATGTTATCTTGAAAGATGGGTACCCCGTTGCTTTCTTGTTTTAATGAGCCTTGTATCACGAAGAGTGGATATCAGATTCACCCAGACAGGATTTAAAATCTATACCGATGTTGCTTAGACAGAATATCATTCTTGTACGAGCAATAAATAATTGATAGACTGTACTTCTGTCAATTCCTGAATCATCTTGAGGGGAAGCAGAGGATAAACTCCTTTTAGGTTCACTAAGTAAACCAGCCACAAAAGAAGATCATCTTCCCCTATACAGACTAAGAATGATGGGAGGAAGCAGTATAAAATCGGCCAAATAGATTAGAGTTTTTGAGAACTAGCTGCCTACTTCCTCTTCAAATTGACAAGAGACTCTTTTCAACAGGAGCATCTTCTTCAACTCTACCATCTTTAATTGTCAATTACTTACATAAAATTACACCAACCATACCTGTCTCCAAGAATCAACCAAAAGCAACATATAGGAAGAGGAGGGGATCCATTTGCTTCTAAGATATCCACGTTTTAAGGGGAAGACGATGAACAAAGGAGGGATCACCCGTTAACTATTTTTTTTCAAATCTAGATTGAATACAAAATTCCTTATACGAATCAAAACTTTGTTGCCATTTAGACATCTGTCTCTTCAATAGATTATATGCCTTTAAACCTAGAGGTTCGAGCTTCTTCGCAGGAGCATCAAATCTCAATTCAACAGGGGAAAGATCATCAAATATCTCTTGGCCAACAGATTCAGTCTGCTCAGTGGACTTCTTCTCTGGGATATGAGAAATGAATGTATCATAATTTGCGTCACTATAAACAGACTTTTCACGTACATGGTCGGCTGCAGACAAGTTGAATGAAACTGGACGGTATAACAAAAAAGACTTTGGTTTCGAATATCCAGCCCAGGTTTCGTCTCTATCCTCAGCAAGGGAGACTGCATGATCATCAAGGTGTGTAGGCCCATAAGCTGAGACAGCAATCTCGCCAGCCACCTGCATAACTTCTTTGTATTTGAGGCTAAGCTCTGTTTCTACTGAAATTTCACCTTCTTCCAAGTTTGAGCACCCATTGCGATATTTATTAAGCACAAGAAGAACAGGAAAAGGAATAACTGGACCCACAATGTCATTATTGCCGTGCGGTGATGATTTCCTTGAAAAGAATGGAGGCAATTGAGGAAGTTCGGGAACAGCTAAAGATTCCAATGCCACCCTATTGTGATCCAGGTTTCCAATAACTTTATGGCATTCAGCACGACTCAAAAACGCCAACTGCAACAGTTCCATAGGTAAGTCAGCCCACATTCTTCTCCAAGCAACCTCATGTAAGCTTGCTGGTAGCTTGACATCATTAAAAACAGAAGTAACTTCAGGACAGGATCTTAGTTGACCAAATCCACAAGCATTTAATTTCTCACACAATAACTCATGCACTTCTGCGCTAAAAGGTTCTCTGTCATGAGCATCCTTAAAGTTTCTTTTTAGTTTTCTAACCAGGAATCGAGTGAGTCCACCACTTGCATATGAGTCAAGGTAATCCAATTTTAGGTAGTTATAATTTTTTGGAAATTTGTAATCCTCATCACTCATGGGATACAATAAGTGTCTATTTAAACACAATACTTGATCAGGGCAATCTTCTAAGTTTCTGGTTGGAGCCCAAGAGGCATGATATCTCTGCAATTCAAACTTTCCCGATGAAGTAAGCCTTATCAGTGTAAAACCCCCATTTTCATCAGGTTCAGTGAGTAATGCAGCAAGTTTATTCCTTAAAATGCCAAATCCCAAAACTATCTCTTTCTTTTGCTGCCAATCAGTCCACTCAGGAAGTGCATCCTTCGATAACTCTTTCCTTAAGAGACAACTTCCGCAGTGACACTCATGACCAGACAAATTAATCTCAAGTGGAAGCTCCCAAGCGCAAATGGCTGGGTTAATCGTTGAAGTAACAGACCCTTTGCGAAATGGTAATATAGACCCATAGCAGAAGATATTGAAATCACAATTCCAAACGGATCCCAACATAATACAAAACCCAGATTCAGAAGCCACCTTAAAATCATCCTCCTTCGAGTGGGACCTCAAATCTGACAACCTTAATACAGACATGAAGCTAGGCCCTTCAATCCCATGCACCCATTGCAAAATCGGCACCAAAGGCTTCCTCACATCACATAGAAGCAAAACACTAGTAGAAGCCACAGCAAAGTAAAAATTGTCCGGAGCAGCCCTTGACAACGCAAGAAACCGCTCATTCTCATCCGGAGCATACATTCGCAGTGTCTCGATATTCATCAAACAACTCACACTACACTCGTTCAGCCTCAAATCAACCAAGAAAACAGCATCCGAAAGCGCAACAACCAAAATCCTGGGGTGCCAACTAAAATCACAACTCAGCCACACATTACACTATGAAGAATCATTCCAAGGCACCTTCAACCTAGACCCCTTGAAACCAGCACCGAAGCCAAAACACTCCAAATCAAACAAAAACAAATGGCCACTCTCCAACAAAACCAAGCTCTCCTCCAATATATGAGGACTCCAACAAGCATGCGCCACAGGGCATGACTTAAACATTTTATCACCCAAACAGAGCACACTAGGTCTATCCAAAATTTGATTGTGCCTCACAGCGAACCAATGAACGGAATACAGAGTAGTAGCCAGAAAATACCCGATAACTCCATCAACCTCGTCATAATCAGTAACAGGGTTAACAGAAATGTTCAAGATACGGTGCGAGGAGCCAGTAGACGCATAAAAAATGTCGCCGTTAGTATCAAGCTGAGTATGGAAGCGAGAGTCCTCAAAGCGGAGCGTGAAAAATGCGAGCTTGTGGTCGTTGTCGCCGGTGGGAAATAAAATGAGGGCATAAGGGCGATGGGGGTAGGTGAGGAGGTGGAGGCGGTTGCAGAGGAAGGGGGAAGCGGCGTCGTTTTGTTGGGTGGAGAAGAGGGAGGCGATGGAAGAAGCGGTGGATGGGAGAATGGAAGGGTGGGAAGAGAAAAGGAATCGTGAAGGTAAGAGGTATGGAGTGTAGTGAAGAGAGGGTTGCAGAGAGGTGGAAGAGAAGATAAGGGAGAGCGAATTAGGGTTAGGGTTGAAGAGAAGAGGACCCAAAGGGAGAGAAGGGGAACCGGAGAGAAGAAGAGGAGCTACTGTAGAGGAACCCACAGGGAAGAATGATTTCCATTCTTCTGAGAGCTCCATTGCAATTGCACAATCCCTGTAACAGAATCATAAAAATAAGATTTTCAAAAAGAGTAAATTAATATTTTCGAAATTATTAATTCTAACTTGCATTAGGCTACATACAGAACCATTAAAAGTAAATTAATATTTTCAAAAAGAGTAAATTAATATTTTCGAAACATGTGTGTATTTTTTTATTTTAGCAACAATTTATTAAGTTATAAAAGTAAATAATTTGTATAACATTTTATAATTAAATAAGTTTTCATTAATAATTATTCAAAATTTAAAAAAGTATATATTAAGAGAATAAAATAATTAAATTTAGATTAGTGATTATTTGAAGGTAAAAATAAAAACATGACTATTTTAATTTAAGATAATAGTTAAAAAAAATTTATACAACAAAAAAAGCTCCCCAATATACAATATAAATTACGTTAGCAAAAAATTGTAATATTCTAATTTTTTTTTTAACAACTACTAATAAAATAAGACGTTATAAAATTGATAAACAAAATAGATTTGTCTCCGCTTAGCTATAGTATTAATAACATTATCTAAAATAAAATAACCATAATAATAATTATATTTATAAGCACTAAACTTAATCACTAGACAATCAAGAAGACATATGCAACATCATCATCCTCTACCCACAATACTTTAACACTTATCCCTCATATGCTTCCACCAATAAAGTGATCATCATAAAAGAAACAAACAACACACCAAGAACAACAAAAGAGACAACAGGATAAGCTAGTGTTTAAAAGAAAACGTCATAAACAATTTAATACATCACATATTAGTTCAACATTAAAACATTCTATAACTTATATAAACATATAATCATTTGACCCTAGACTCAATTATCCGGATACAATGTTTTGACATAAACTTCAATAAAGGCTTGCACTCATAATAGTATTTATACTCTGCAGAGTTATAAAAAAAGATGATTCAACCTATTACTCACGAGGTTAATATTTCACTCATAAGACTCAAAAGTTTAGGTAAAGACCTCATGTCATTCTCTTTGTTACTACATTCATCTCTACATGAGTTGAATGATTGGTAAAATATCATGATACCTCATTTCATAAATTTGTCTCTCAAACATTCACAACAAGTGTCTCAAACACAGAACTTCTCATTGAGATTGTTCTCACATTACATATAATCCATACTCACAATCACATTTATATAATTCATAAAACATCAATAATTGTAAATTTAAATACACTTTAAATTAATCAGAAAAACATAGAAAAAATAAACAAGCTAGAAATAAAAGGCGTCTAGCACCAGTTATATAGTGAAATTACAAAAAAGTAATATAAATGATTAAGTTGACTAGAAAATAATGGGACATCTTATATGATAAGAAGAGAAAACTTTTAATAGAAAAACCTATTTTATAACCATTGATGATTTTACCAAACATCAATTCAAGGATATAGCAGAAAGAAAAAACATCCATAGAAAGAAAAGAAATCTACTTACAAGAGCTTTTCCCATATCCGTGTAGATTTGACAAAGACACTATACTTAAGAAAAAGTACTTAAATTTTGACATATTAACTTTACACTTAATCTTACAGTTCTAGTTTATGATAAGAAATGAAAACAATATTCCAAAATTTATAGACAATATCACAGTACTATCCTGCAAATAAAAACAAGTAAAACATGTTGTATATCCAATGAGAAGAGTAATATGGACAGCCAATAGGAAACTTGAATTCCCAAGATAGTCTTGACATTTTAATAAGTTAGTCGAAATAAATCATCAAGATATTTATCCTTCCTAATATTTCATCATCCCACTTAGGTGCTAGAAAACAGGGCAGATAGCATGGCAAGTTCCTTTGGCTTGGGATTTTTAATTTTATTTGACAAGGACACACAGGTGAAGGGGGAGTGATCTAGATTAGGAATTATTGGCCAATTGGAGTAGTAATGATGATGACAAAAACAAATAAACACTTGGAAGTGGTTGCTTATTTTAAACTAAATAATATTGATATGACTACTATAGAAACAATATCTCTTCTATCAGTAAAAGCATTCAAAAACTTTACTGACCTTAATCAGAAGCTGATTTACTATGCTGTCGTGAACTCCAGTACCATCCCGAGTTGAACCCCTTGACTGCACATGACATGAAAAGAAACAGAGTGATTATAGTACCACACAAATCATCATATACAATACTCATGAACATGACTACTCAAGAAACTACATATAAAATGCATTGAGATTATTCTGAGATGTTTGCATTGAGAACAAGCCAGCCAGTTCCAGATCCAGATATATTCAAACTCCAAAAGATTTCCACACAAAATCAGCTGAATTATGGACTCTATTCTTGGCTTATCCTCAATAGAAAAGGTAAAAAAAGGTGAAGTTATTCAGAAAAGGCTCCCACGTGCTATACATCGCTTTCTAAACACAAAAGATTAGCTTTACTGCAAATTTCTATAACAGTTTCTTGTGTTTTTCAACTTTCTTCTCTTTTACTGCAAATTTTTTTCTGCTTTTTAAATTAAGTTTATCTTATGAAAACTGTTAACAAATAATTATTTTACTAAGGAAATATTATTTTTTTAGTTTGAAGCAAATACATCAAAAGCCTTGAAGTGGATGTAACTTCCAAGACATTATTCATAATCATTGTTAAAAGTTTGATGCTGTTGAGAATGTCTGAATTAGTATTCGAAGGGGCTTAGCTATTGAACTTAAACTATTAAAGAGGAACTGGATCTCATTACATTGTAAATTTGCTGAAGACTCAGAGATTATTTTGAACCCAAAATTCAAGATCTGCATGAATTCTAGAAAAACCATAAATTCATCTATGAATGGTTCAATGTGTTAAGTACCTGTTGGCACAGCGCCACTAATCTCTGGCTTATAAATATTGGTTATAATTGCTCCTGGATGAAGAGAATTTGCTGTAATATCTACCCTATTTTCCTGACCAATATGCAACGAGTAATATTAGATATAGCATAGACAATAATGAGGAAAAATCAAAAAGCTTTGCTTACAAACAGAAAAACATTAAAAGAAAGAGAAAATAACAGTGAGCAAAGTAAACAATGGTATGTTAGGATCAAAAATGGTCTTTGATTATCAGACCAACATTTCTGGTTATCATTAGAGCACTGTGCACAAGACAAATACAGCAAAAATTAGATCCAAGTAGTTACATAAATAGTTTGTCAGCTCATGATAACATGCTAGAATTCCTTTGAGCACTAATGAACATAGTAAGATATAAGAACAAAGTTGGTGCAATGCAAATTTCATATATGCAAGCATACTAACAGTGCAAAACAGCAAAATTGGAAACCAGAAAGTTCAATTTAGACTTGGTTCTGCATTGAAAATCTCACATCTAAATAGAAATAGAATTAATTTATAATATCCTTAAAAGTAATATAATTTTCTGTTCAAAGTAAACCAATAAAATATAGGATAAAAAAACAGAAAACATATATAAAAGAACAGTTTGATTGAAAAATAAAGCTATCAAAACATTTGTGAAAACCCAAAAATCAATATGAAAGTTCAGAATCTGTTCCTAAAAAGTTTAGAGAAATTAATTGAAGATAATAATGCCAAGCCAAACCTTAATGCCCATCAATAACATAATCAGCTACAAGATAGCATTATGGTAAAAACAATACTCCATATTAATCATTTTACAAAAAATATTTTATGTAATGTGGGGATACCACGGTCACTATAAGCTTCAAAAGTTTGCTTTCATTATCTGATACGACCAGAATAATCCACAACCTCTACTTAGCTACCCAATTTGATGTTTCATTTAGCATTCCCTTAACCAAATATAACAGTATCAACAGGAGAATTAATGCAAAACACTAATCTGTGCCTCTCTGTGTATAAATGAAGTGTGTATACACATTGCTATTAAGAAGACATCAAAGTTATTGGCAGAAGAAGTTGTTGCCTACCTCAGAGAGTAATTACGAAACAAAAACCCTTACTTCGAAAGGGGAACGAACACGCAGCTACACTTGCAGCATCAACCACATCTACCTCGGTTAGCTCCTACCTCCACGGGTCGAATCACTGCTTGACCGGAACAAAAACTGAGGAAACCGATTTCAATCGGTGAAAAATGAAGAAAAAGGTAAACAATCGGTCAAAAGGTGAGAAGATGAAGATAC